GATGTAAAAGTGTTTCACGCTCCTGCTCCAACCAATGCAGCTAAACCAATTTCTATGATGTATTTGGCTCACGAGACTAAAAAGAAAAAAGCATAGAATGCCAGGGTCCTAGAAGTGGAAAAAGCTTCCTTTACACTTTTAGTTTTCTCCACAACAGGAGGCATGGGAGTCGAAGCGCAACGCTTGATTAAAAAGCTTGCACAAAAGATGGAATCTCCAACGGGTCAGCGATATTAGAACTGTTCAAAATTGTCAGATTAGAATCTCCAATCTCACTCCTATCTTTACTCCACAGATCACCATCACAAAGACGTTCAGACCAGTTCATCACCCCGAACCCATCCTCCTCTTTCATTTATCAATCAACAAAAATGTGGAACGACTGTCGAAAAATTGACAGTTTGATAAGCTTTACTAAGTCAACAAACCTAGTTAAAGTAACACTGAAGAGTGAGCTTCTCAAGATACAGTCCAGGTACGAAGAATCAGAATGGACAGAATTAAACTTCGATAAGAATGAGCTTGTGTTTTTTTCCACTTTGTATACAAAGTGGAACATTCCCAAGTATTTTTAAAACTGGTAAAGTTATTCCTATTTACAAGAAAGACAATAAGGAATGTATTGAAAATTATCGGCCTGTATCAATATTACCTTTATTTGGAAAAATTTTCGAGAAGGTCATTTACAAACGGCTCTATAATTTCTTCACATCTAAAGGTGTACTAACAGACTCGCAGTTTGGATTTAGAAAAGGCCATTCTACCGCCCATGCTCTACACAAATCTATAGACTCTGTTACAAAGTCCCTGGCTAGCAATAAACATGTCCTAGGCATATTCATTGACTTGAGCAAAGCCTTTGACACCCTTGATCACAATATTCTTCTAAGCAAGTTAAATTCCTATGGTATTAGGGGCACAGCACTAACTTTACTAAAAAGCTACTTGACTAACAGAAAGCAGTATGTGATGTATAACGATGTACCATCAGAAACAATGGATGTGGAATTCGGGGTTCCTCAAGGGTCAATTCTAGGGCCATTACTCTTCCTACTGTATATGAACGATATAGTAAACTGTTTTTCAGACAGTGAAGTGAAATTTGTACTTTATGCTGATGACACTAATATCTTCATATCAGGACCGTCTAGAGAAGCAACATACAAAAAAGCCAACTTAGTGCTTAAACATGTCTCGATTTATATGAAATGTAATCTACTTCATATCAACATGTCAAAATGCTGCTACATCCATTTTAAACCTGCCTCTGAATATGATGACACTTGTGCACGGACTAGACCATTTGCTACCCTGCTAGATGAATCTAGATCAATATTCATCAATGGTAAGGTTATCACTAAAGTCAAGGATACCAAATTCTTAGGTGTTGTTATAGATAGTACGCTAAACTGGTCTGCCCACATGCACTACATCCGTAAAAAACTGAGGTCCATGACTGGTGCAATCTGTAGAATTCGGCAATCGATACCTGCTGAACTATATTTAAAAATATATAATGCTCTATTTGAATCACATCTAAGTTATGGTATAAGTGTTTGGGGAGTTGTCCTCAAAGAACGGTCCAATGATAGTCTTTTCATCACACAGAAGCACTGTATAAGAATCCTTTTTGGTGATCTCGACTCATATCTAGATAAACAATCAACATGTGCAAGAACTAGACCATATGGCATGCAAATACTAGGTCATAAACATTTTGAAAAGGAGCATACGAAACCCATTTTTAATAGGTTAAAAATTCTTACGGCTCAAAACTTGTACAAATATCACTGTATTTTAGAATTCTCTAAGATTATCAAGTACCACTGCCCATACTCCCTTTATGAGGCTATCAACATTTCAAACCGTGCAACGAGTCTAACAGTTATTCTTCTAAATAAATCAAATACCTTTTTGTTTAATGCAGCCAAGCTTTGGAACACTGTTCATAAAAAAATTTTAACTTCAAGCAATTGTCTAGAAACTTCCATTAACTTGATAAAATTGAGAACGAAAGCACTATTAATACAATCACAGGCTGCTGACTTAAAAGAGACTTGGACTCCAAACAATTTTAAGTTACAGTAATTTAATCTAATTGCAGCAGCACATAACATAATTTAAACTATTGCTATCATTATTGTACTACAGACTGAAAATATCTCAGATCTATTTTGGGCGTTTTTAACAACTTGTAGTTGTAATTCTTAAATATTAGATATCCTAATTTATAACTTTTTAATCAGAGTGAATTAATAATTGATATTTGATAATTTATTTATTTGATAGTTTAGTCTGATATTGATATTAATATTGATTATATTGATATTGTTATTATTGAATGAAGCTAATTCCAGACATAAATAATACTACTTCTATTAACAAAGGGACTTGGAGTATAAACGACCAATTTTGCATAATTGTCTTTCCAACCACGAATTCAGGAGGCAAGGGTGGGTGCGTAAACTTTATGGTCTGCACTCTCAGATCCTGTATCACCCTGGATTCATTTCGACGTATTTTTGGTAAAAGTATACATATACTTTCTGGTCACTCTCTTGCTACTCCAAGTCCCCTAAGATATATGGTCTAAAGTTTGCACTAGTTATATATATAAAATATGTTTTTGTCTGCTTTAACTGATACTAAATAAAATTGTTGTTTTCTTGAAATTGTTGTTTTCTTGAGTCCTTTGACTTGGTTATTTTAGAATTGAAGAATCTTTTGGCCACAACTCACTTCGTTCGCATTATAGATTCACATTCACTTTCACTTTCACCATCACGCACAGTACAGGGTCATACCTCAATACCAAATTATTATAGGGCACAAGAACAAATTTGTTTACAATTATCAAAATTTGTTGAGCCCAGCAGCTTTCTTTCCTCTCTTCCCCCGTCGTCTGGAGTGTGTGATTTTTGTCGATGTCCGAGCTCTTATATTTATCATTAGTTTATGGTTAACTTTCTGTGATTGGACTCGGTATTTTCGTCCCGGCCGAGTGGGACGATGCTTGCTCGCCAGTTAAGCTTACTGCAGTAGATAACACTAATTTCTACAAACTGTAGAATATTAAATATAAAATGTGTCCAGTATGGCGCAAATGCATAATTTGATTATTTTTCGACGCTGTCGTCGGGGTGAGAGTTATCCGAAATAACTGCATGCCCCTACGATTGCGTCACCACTGGTGAGCAAGCATTTGTTTGTTGTTTAGTTGTGTTGAAAGGAACATCACTTGATTAATTCATCCATTCGGATTTAAATAACGATGAGCTATGATATATATACCGTTCATCTAAGATTATTGGATCAATTTTATTATATGATAAGATTTTATAAACGAACTTGGCACACAAAAGATTATAATGCGGAGGTTGGCTGGCTCTTTTATAATAAATACGACACTCCAATTTACAGAATGCTTGTTATAGAATAAAACAAATAAATATTATCAGACTATACATGCAGCATGAGTAACTGGTGGATAAGCCCTCGGTAAAAACGGATCCGGAAAAGTCATTGTGGCACTCGGGTCCTTGGTATTGTCGTCGGTATATTGTCCATTACCTACGTTCTGCTTTCATAGTTTAAACAATAGTGAGTTCTAAACATAAATATAACAGCTTTAAACCGACTAAGTATGAATGAATGAAATACCTGACAATCTACACTCCTATAAAAATTAAAAAAGCAAGCATGAGTAACTCGTAGTGATGTATGATTTCTAAAAACTTTAAATTAAATTTGGCGCTCACAGGTCCTCATGATCATGTGATCGCCGCATGAGGTTCTGTAAATGCGCAGGGCACCTTCGAGCTTATATTATTCACCTTACTGAGGCAGTCAACCAACGCGACGCGCGGCTTTATTTTTATGATATGATATGTTTTGATTGTTATTAATAAATACCAAAATTTAAATTTGTTTTCCTAAAAAAATTTGTTTTCCTATTCAGACTCAGTTACATATCTTAGAAAGTGCTTGCGCTCTGAGGTATTAAAGACAACAGTTATTTCGATAAGGGGGGACAAAGGGCCCAGGCCAAGTTGCGATATAAACCAGACAATATTGAAGATTTAGATTTAAATATTGATCCCTTTGGCTAGAGAATACTTTCTTAGATATTTTGTATGACCCGCACTCGTGCGCGGCTCCCCCTGTTGCCTGTACTGTTACCATTGTCCCCCTGTATCGTCCCCCTGTATCGTCACCATAATGAAAAGACCATGGGGGTCACGACTTGATACAAAGAGTAATCATCCGCATCCTAGCCTGAAAGTGGAAAGTGCTCTTTATAAATTAGATTTCATATCAAACAGTCAATTTTACGTGACCGACTAAAGTAAAAGAATTAAAAACTTAAGCTGAAAGTTAAAGATAATAACAATAAGGTGAAGCATGAGAAATTAATTTCACACAACTGGAAGCTAAATAGTAGTGTAAGAAACGTTCCAGGTGTTGTCCTGAAACGGTGCACTCTAGTTAAATTTAGTAAACACATTAGTCATTATCTCACTTTATCAGTGTGAACGTGTACACTTTACATTAAACGACTTGTGCTCATGTGTGATGAATGTGTTTAGTTGATACATCTGTATTGTATAACATAGGGCTAGTTAAAATTGATTGATGGGTAAAACTAGGTTAAAATAAAACAAAATTTTTAGTAAAACAAAATTTTATCTTATACCCATAATCAATTCATATTTAGTTCAAATATTTAAAGTCAAAATAACTTGCTTCTCCATTGCTCGATTTTCTCACAAATATACAAAACACAAAAGGTGGATTCAAAAGTTTATGGTTTTTCAGTGAATTGAAGCACATCGAGTGAGTGCTTCACAGAAAAAAAAATGTATACAAACACACCGCACTATGGTACACATTTTCACGTAGATTTAAACATTCTTTCTGATTTCCTCATTATACAAACAACAAAAAATGTATATGCATGATGCAAAATAAAAAGTTTTTATTTATTCATATATATATCGGGAAAATTATTTTTTATATATCCTGTCATCACTCCTGGAGTAATGGATATTATATGTTTATTTCAATAAATATGATAATCAATAAATTAGAATAGAATCTAGTCTTCTTTTCAGCTCACTCTTCTGCAACCTCTTCCTCTACATTCTCAACCTCATCATCAACTTCCTCATCTTCATCATCAACATCATCACCCCTGTCTTCATCGCTGGTGGTGTGTGCGAGATTTAGGTCCAGTTCGTCAACAGGTATTGCTTTCTCATAATACCGTCCTCTGTGTCCTCTCACTGCAATCAAAACTGTTTTAAGTAGCTCAAATCGCAAACGACGTCTAAGATTTGCCATGATGAGGCTTTTGTCCTGGCTGGTCTTGGCTGCCAGAAGTGTTGTCACTCGTTTAAGGAACATGGTAGCCTGTGGGCCCATACCTCCGGTGGTCGAGAATACAAGGCCACTGCAGGTTCCTTTTTCGATCTGTACACAGCGGTCTCCATATTTCCTTTCTTTCTCTCTCTCATGCTTCTTGTACATCTTTGCTGGGGTGTTGTGGTTAGCGTTGGATTTGGCTCCGGGGTGTAAAACCCTGATATCAAAAAATGCCATCTCCATTGGTGACCACAGACCTCTAGCTGCAATGTCAAGCCTTGCCCCATCATCCAGAATGGTACCAGGGCGAAGGCTTTCTCCAGTGCATGGCTGGAGTGTGGGCTCTACAACAACCTCATTACAGATTTTTTCTAGAATGCTTGCAATGGTGTCTCTCAGTCGGTTGTGTCTGCTGTTGACAAAGCCTCCTTTCTTGCAAATGAGAATGTGGTTGTAGGTGTTATCTTTGCCACAAATGCATTTCTTGGCTATGTTTGCAATGGGTAGAGCATATCTCAGTGCTATAGCGTCTTTGAACCCTTGCTTGTTCAAGACGAATCCGTACTTCTCATAGGGTAGTCCGGTCAGCCAGCTTGATGCACCTTTTTCACATGCATGTGGGATCTTCTCACTGATCAAAGGTGGTAGATCGTTCATCAGCTGGTTTTTGAGAGATTCACGTCTCTTTGCATTTGACAGGCTAATGGCACTCTTGACCGCTTTCCCAGCCTCTCTGTTGGTATTGAGAGTGGTGTGTTGCTTCAGAATGTGTTCTGTAAGCTGCTGGTTAGCCATGAGTGAGTTCTTGTACTCAGTATCAGCAATTTCTACTGGATTGATTATAGCTAGTCCACCTAACTTGGCTGGGAGGGAGAACAGACTTCGCTCAAGGTCGGACCGGATTGTGTGTCCTGTCATGTTGGGAATGAGCAGATTCCTGATCTTGTCCTCAATGGGCTGCAAGTTCACTGCTATGTCGGGGGTGGTCCTCATCAGGAAAGACCATCTGCGGGAGGAGCCGTAAACAAAGGCAGCGTAAGCAAGGTGTGGCTCGTGCCGTGCAATTGAAGCCAATCCCTTGATCTCTTCTATCCATTCAACACATTTGGCTTGGATGAAATTATTCTTTCCAGTCTCTGTACCTATAAAGGAACCCAGGTATCGACAACCTTCGGTGGTGATGTTAAGGTCGGGGAAGAGAGACTTGGCTTCCTCTTGGTACTCCTCTTTAACAATAAGCCAGGTCTTGGACGGTTTGGGTAAATAGCCGTAAACAGGGCCAGATGCCTGTAGGGAATCCCACCAAATCTTCAGGGCTTTAAGCCTTCCTGCTGCTCCAGAATCATCTGCAAACCATATGTGTTTAGCAGCTTTGTTGGAGGGCTTATTTACCTCCGGAGTCCTATCTGGAGTTGTATCTGGTGGTGTCTCAATCTTATTGTTCTCCTCTTCACAGACCACGGGAGAGATATCTGGTGGCTCTGTGGGGAGTTTGTCCATAAGGGGCATCAGGCTACAGGAGTAAAATGCAGAAGCACAGTTATCCCCCTGAGTAGTACCTTCTTGGGATAAAATAAACAATCCCTTGGAGTTTCACAGTGGGCTGTGAGTGGGGGTCATGCTAGCATAGGTTATTTTAGACCATCACACATGCCCCTAACATTGTTTCTAAGGTAATTTGGGTACAAAAATACGATTCCAATCATTTACAGGGCCGAAAATGTCTCAGAAAAAATTTTTGGGCCGATTTTGAGCAATCTTGTAGTCCAAAAATAGGAGGCTGATCCCAGGAAAAGTTGTTTTTTAGAGGTTTAATCAATTTTAAAGCTCTTTTATGAACTGTAAACGAAGGACAGCTATCTTAGGAACTCGAATCTTTTTGAATTATGAAAAAATATTGATCAGAAGTTGTGCCCATTTATATGACCAAAATTTTCTGAAACACCAAAATTGTTCCTGTTATTTTAAAAAATTTCGTTTAAAATCACGATTTTTTGGATTTTTATCAATTTTAACTATAATAATTGTGATATTTTGATTTTTCATCCATATGCATCTGGTCTAGGATGCAAAAAATGCCACAAACATGGAGAATAACTAAAATATGTCAATTTAATAGCAAAATTGAGCTCATAAATTATCTAAAAATGCAGCAAATTTTACCCAATTTTTGAGTTTCTTAATTTTGTAAACAGAGTTCCCCCAAAAGTGCCCAAAGTGATTCTTATTGCATCTGATAGGGAATTGTCTAAGCTTTCTGATGATACCATGCATTATACCGAACTATTGCAAACCAACAACGATTTCTGTCGTTAAATACCCCAAAAATTGCCTAAAATACACGCCATAAAAAAGGCGCGGTCAAAAATCAGGTGAAAATGTTAAAGTCACACAGTTTTTTTTAGATGTCTGAGTATTCTGAAGTACTATACTGTATTTCAATTATTAAAAACTGCCTTGATCAGGCATTTTAGCCCAAAATAATAAATATTAGGCAATTTTTGGCTAAAAAAGGCAAAATTTCTTGACAGTGAAAAATGCTATTTTTTCACGCGACGCCATTTTGGCATCTTGCAAAGTTTTTAATTACGGTTTTTTGCATGAAATCGGGCTAGCGTTTTACAATAAGGAAAGCTTATTTTCAAAGAAATTTAAGAAAGTCGATTTTAGGCCTATGCTAGCATGGTAGCCCACTGTGAGTTTGGTATGTACAGTTTTGCTGCTTTTCTGTAGGTATTAACAAGATATTTATACAGCTCGGGACACATCACACTTGTGTTGTGGAGGGCAACTCTCCGGTTTAAACGGTTGAAGGCATTATCTGCATCAACAAGAAGAATACCATGAGTGTCTTCATCTTCATACATATTTCTAAGAGCATGAATAGCAGCTTCTACTCCACCTTCTAGGCCTGCTGACGCTTGAAGTGGTGCAGTGGCTGCTAGGATCTCTGGTTTGAGCAGAGTAGTAACTGACTTGCCGATTATTCGGCGGAGGACTTCACCAATCCCTATTGGTCTAACGCCAGGTTTCTTGTCCAAAGGAATAAGGCGGCAAGATATGAACGTTGCTAGGGGATCAGGGTCAACTAATTCAGTGCAGAGTTTCCTGGTTAGTAGGGCAACTGATTCACATAGCTCAGCACCACATGTCTTGAATGACTTAGAGCAAAGGATACGTTGCCAACCATCAGAATCTAGGCCAGAGGGGCCGGCTGATCCATTGGTGTTCTTTGCTGCCTTTTGGATTGCTTCAATATCTATGTTCTCGAATATAACATTGTCTACTTTTTCCAAGCCAACCTTGCTGAGTAGACTGCTTACAAGGAAAGATTCTTCAGGCTGTGGGTCGGGATGTTTACTCTCTAGCAACTTGATAGTTTCTGGTGTCGATTCTAGGAGGCCCCCAGCTTTATTTGTCACCCATCTGAGTGCTGCTGACACCTTTCCTTGAAGCATAAGCTTGGAGAATACTTTGTGGGTATGTTGGGGAGTAAACTTGCTTGATGTTAAACGCTTCTGGATAGCTTTACTTTCTTTGATGAGGCCCTTGATGTCGCCTTTCTCCCAAAGTTTGAGGCGATCTTCAAGATATCTGACGTGGTCCTTTGTTTTGGATCGTTTGGAAGGTTTTTGGAGGAGCAGGGCTGGCATAACCATAAGTGCAGTCATGGCCACATTTTGAAGGGGGGAGTTGTTAACATAATAATTGATGACTTTAGAGGTTGCTTTCACATAAGCTTTACCTTGAATACCAGAAGGAACCTTGAACAGGTTTCTCTTCCACTTGATTATTTCATCATAGGCATTGTCAAATGTCTCTTTAATAGCATGCCCCTTGAGCGAACCCCATGTTGCGGGAAAATTATTGTATTTTGATTTTAAATAACAAATGTGCAACTGCTTTTATTCCAAATTTTGCATTGAATTCAAAATACTTGGAAATAAATCTGCTATGCTTTATAAGAAATTAAAGGTGTGAAGGTCAAGTGCAAAGTTTGGCGATTTTGTTTTCCATGTCCCTGCTCCAGGTGACTCTCACAACTGCAAAAGAAATGTAATGGAGTTGTTAACATTTGAGTAAAATCTGGAGGGAACGATCAAATCGAAAAGTTTTGCTGAAGGATTGTGGGACATTACATACAATAGTTATTTTTGAGATTTCAAATATTAATTGTATCAATAGATCATTTCCGTTACCTGTGTATTTTGTTCTGCCAATTGGAACACTCGAATTGATTGTAAAAATTGAGAATGCTCTGTCTAAATAGGTTCTATTGGGTTTTTTCATTCGGAAAATCTTCACATCAGGCAGGAAACATGGCCTATTGAACCAGCTTTTGTCTAGTATAGGAATAAACGTTAGAGCCCAGATCAATTCAACATAAATCATAATTATGCATTAATGAGAATATGGTTGGTGGTCTATTTATTGCGGTCATTTGAAGAGACTGGCATGGAGTCTTAATTGGGACTGTGATAATGACTTATTTGTAATTTCTTTTGGTTCACTCAGCCAAATGATCAAGAAATCCATGATTGAGTGTTAAACAAGGAGGGCCAAGGGAACCTACTTATAGATCTGGATTTGTCTACTGTAAACCGTAGTACCTACTGCAGAAGATCTGAGCATATACCTTTTTATTTTTGTTTAATTCTGTTTAATTTTGTTTAATTAGTACTCAATAATCCAAGTGACCTAATCCTACGTACAGGACCTACATATTATAACTCTATGACATAGGTATCTAGTTACACTAGGAGTTTTGAATGTTAACCGATATTCCTTGCAGTGTAAATGTTTGGTTAAAAGAAGAGGAGCACCTACAAGACTTGGGCTGATTTACGATCAAAGGTGACTGATTGATGCAGGTAGGTGATATTTTAATCACTATGGCTCCTTAAAAATCGGCATCAGTTTGTCTAAAATTATTTATTTAATTACATTTACTGCACAATATGATTTAAAAACTAACGATTAAAATGTTGAAAAGGACCTCAATATTCTCCCTGTTAAATACGGTTAATGGGGAGGATAGTTACAAAAGTACCAAATAAAACTCTCTGGGACAAAAGTGTTAATAAATAAATTTAGTACAAGGTTAGATAACTCTACTCTAGATATTCCAATAATCTCTCGCAGATGTTATTGGTTGATTAGTGAGTAGTGTATGATTATTGAGCTGAGTGAGTGTACACTGAT